AGGTAGTGGCTGCAGAAACTTTTCTGGCAAGAAACCAAGCATTTTTCACAAACAAGTAATAAGACAAGGAATTACTTCAGATAATCACACTCCAAAGAATTTGTAACTGGTGCCTGGGATCCCAGTGTGGTATTGACTGCAAGATGTCCTTCCATGGTGTCCAGTGATATTTCAGGCTGAAGTGTATGTTTTAGAACGTGTTGTCTCAAGTTAAGAAAATGCCCTTAATTGCATACAGAACATATCAGCAAGGTGGTATATTGCTGATGTGATCTGCATGGGACACTGGGAGAATCTGTGTCTTTCTCCAAGTTGCTGGTTCAACTTGCTTACCTTACTGCCCTTTCCATTGCTCTGGAGTTTAAACTGAAACTCCTTTGTTACCATTAAAAGAAAAGTTGAAGCTAATACTTCTGGAGGAACAGCAAACTGCCACTGAAGCACTTTGTCTTGGTGCTTAACACAGTCATAGCAGGTTTTCCACCCCCAAATGATATCCGTCTCTCAGAGTCAAAGGACAAGTATTTGGAACCAGCCTCTGCACCCAGTCCTCATGTTCTCAGCAATTTACTCCTCTAAGGAGCCCTGTGTAATAGGTCTCCTCATTCTGGGCTTTTGTTATCGGTGTCTGTGCCTCAACTTAATCTTTATTGGGGTTTTCATGATAATTGGTTAGTGGGGAAGCCCTTCTCTTAGTAAAATTCAAACCATCCCCAGTGGTTTTCTCAGATGTGAGGTAAATGGAGGAAATGAGAAGACAGAAAACTAGATAAATGCAAAGGAAACTGCAATTTATCACTTTAAAATACGGTACATTAACAACTTAAGGCTACAACAGATCGGCAGTTGCTAAAAACTCCACCAGTTTTAGGCATTCTTTACCAATTGACCACAGGGAAGACAAAAATAAATAAATAAATAAATAAAAAATAAGGCTTAGCAACAGGGAGCAATAGCATTCGTTTCATTGGCATTGCTTGTTAGTGTTGATGCTGCAGCACATGTTGTTTGGTGTAACGATATACAAGTCTTGGAACAAATTTCCCAGCAGTAGTATCCTTGTATAGACTGAATAAAGGTTATTTTCTACAGGGAGGTATCTTATAAGAAAACACAGTAGGGGAGACCATAGAAGTGAGAGGATCCTATGGAGCTTTTTGTATTTAACAACAATCAATGGTTTTTATGGAAAATCATTGAGCAAAATGTGAGCTGCAAGCTCACTACCCCATACTGATGTTATTTATAACCTTAGTCTTAAACTGCAGGAAAAGTACACTTCCATTCTATGGGGAATACATTAAAAGTATAAAGAGCAGATAAAAAGACAGGGCATTTCATGGATCACCAAGAACAAAATCCACTTAAATGAGCTTAGAGTTGGTTTCTTGGCTTTCACTGATGGAGAAGGACTATAAGGCATTGCCCAAGAGAAAAAAGCTGTTACCTAAGTGTGTTTGTTACCTCATGCATAAACATGGGATTACTGTAACACACAGACATGCATATACAGTGTTTGCTTTAACTATTTTAACTCTGTCAAGACTGTATTATAATTCCTTATGATTAGGGCTGATTTCTACTTCCGCTTTGCATATATGGGTTGTCTGTTTGGTTTTTTTAGCAAACATTGGGTGATAAAAGATGAATAGCTGCTGGTTTGCAAGATAACAGGAAGGGTAATTTTTTCCCTTCTGTGTTGCCTAGGTAAATCATCATTAACATCCTAGATGTGAAGTGCTAACCACAGTAATATGGGTTTTAACTTAGCAGGGATGCAGCCATGAAATATTTGTTCAGTAACCCTATCTGTAGAAAATGGCACAGTATGAAGAGGGTCAGCTGGTGCTTATCCAGCATCAGCAGGGTCTCCAGCTCGTCTACTGAATTAAGTTTCAATGCCAGGAACATTGTTTCTCACTTGTTTAAAAAAGAAGGAGGGAAAAAAAAAAGAAGACTAAAGTTACTTTATGTGTACACAAGAAGAACATTTTAGCTGCCAGATACCAACATTACTGGCTAATTTAAGACCCAGTTAAAAGAATACATTCTAAAGACATGAGACTCAATATCAAGCACGCTCCTCACAGTAAGCTGAAAAATTATTGAGAAGAAAGAGAGGAGAATAGAGTTGATGATGTAACTTGTTACCTGCAGATGGCAGACTGGCTATAGGCTGGGCCTTCGGTGGCGCTTAGGGCCTGGCCAACTTGAGTCTGTGTCAGGCCAAGGGACAGGCGCCGGATTTTAAAAGCTTTGGCAAATTCTCGGATTTCTTCCAGATTCACCCCATCCACCTCTCCAGTGGCTGTCTGAGGATCTGTTGAAATACATTTTTTTATCATATCAGTGCTTCCTGTGAGATACGAGTGGGCTAGGTGTGTACACAAGCTTTCCTCGTCAAGGTGTTCATGCTCATTTCACTTCTTAAAATACTTTCTCTTCTTCCCCTTGCCTTCTCAGGTGTGTTATAAAGCATGCTCAGCCTGCTAAAATGCTAACTAGGCTGCAGTGTTTCCAGGTGCTGGAGAAAGGTTGTCAAAGACACACTTTGTGGATGAACTCCTGCAAATGCCTAACTGGCCTCCAACTGAGGTGGTGCCTGGGCTCCTCTCTACTGTTTGTGCCATGCAAAATGTCCCCCAGGTTGACATGTCCCCCAGTCCCTTTCTTCTCACATACAGAAGGAAGGCTGGTATACATTTATTTGCAGTCTGTGGGGAGGGCTAAATATATGCACAAACTGCTTGGGCTTTTGATTTGAAATTAAAAGACTTTCTGTTTTGTCTAAAATAAGTGCCAAAGAAGGAGAGTTCAAAAACCTTCCTTCTCTTTTGCACAATACCCAACCCAAACCACCAGCCAAATATCTAAAATAACCCAGAAAATTAACAGCACCCCGATCCCCTCCCCAAATAAAATAAAATTATGCATTTAAAAACTCCTTTATTTAAAGATCTTCTTTTAAAATATGCCCTTATGAGAAGCAGCCTTTCAAGCTTTTCATTCTGCCTCCCATCAGGTTGATAATCAAGGAGCAGCAGCATCAGCCATTAGGTTTCAGATGGTAATGCTGCACAATTTTTTACTTTT